CAACAATGCCGAGAGGGTCCTGCTTACCACTCAAGGTGGGTGGTGAGTCTCCCCACTCCTGGAGCCCTGCCCACCCTGAGCCTGCTGGGGAGGGCTTGTTGACCTCTGTGGGAAGGTGCAGAAGGGGGCTTTAGTTCAAGGTTGGAAGCACTGATCGGGCTTGGTGGTAGGCGCACAGACCTCTGCCCTGGCCTGGAGGCCTAGGCAGAAAAATCAAGAGTTCAGCATCCGGTCTACACAGCATGCCTAGGCTTAGGCATGAGACCCTGGCTCAGACAACAAAACATACCTTGTGTTAAGTCAGTTTTGTTTTGTTTTACTTTTTGCAGCTTTGGGGCTAGAATCCAGAGCCTAACACAAGTTAGGCAGGGTTCTGTGAGTGAGCCCCTTCAATGATGTTCTAAAACAACTATTTAGAGCCAGGCTTTGTGGCTCTCATCTGTATCCTAGCAACCACATGGTGAGGGCAACAAGGTCAAGAGTTCTAGGCTAACCTAAGACCCTCTTTAAATTAAAAACATCAGGTGAGATGGCTCAGTGGTTAAAAGTGATTGCTGCACGTACCTGATAACCTTAGCTCTGTCCTCAGACCTCCATACACTGTGGCCAGGACTCTGTACTCAGACAAGCCAAAGAACTCCTAGTTTCTCTCCTTTTTTTTTTTAATTGTTTGGCATTTGTTTTGAGACAGTCTTATTGTAGTTGAGGCTGGCCTGGAACTCACTGCTCTTCCTGCCTCAGCCTCCCATGTGCTGGGACTAGAGGCATGGGCCTCCATGCCCAGCTGTTACTCTGTCTTTACAAAACTTTGGCCAGGCAGTGGTGGCGCACGCCTTTAATCCCAGCACTCAGGAGGCAGAGGCAGGTGGATCTCTGTGAGTTCAAAGCCAGCCTGGTCTGCAGAGCAAGTTCCAGGACAGACGAGGATACACAGAGAAACCCTGTCTCAAAAACCACAAAAAACTTTTCCCCTGAACTCCTGAGAAGTACCTTGAGCCAGAGGAGAGCCATGAAAATAGAGTCCAAGTGCCAGCTAGTCAGCCGTTCTAAAGCTGCTCCCCGGATGAGTAGCCACAGCCTGATTTCTGTGATGAGACTGAGAAGGGGCGGGGCTGGCACAAGCCTCAGAAGCAGGTGTGGCAGGATGGGTGGTTCCCAGCTCCCTGCCCTTCTGCAGAGGACAGTCTCTGGGAGCCTGCTGTTTCTGGGGTCTCACATGTCGGAGGTGCTTATGGGAGGAGGCCACCTTGGTGAGATGGGGACGGTTACCCATGGAGAGTAGGTAGTGAGCATTTGAAAATGAGTATTTGAGACCTGGAAGCTAAGCAGGTTAGGTCCAGCCTCTCCGGTATAGAGGCCAGCCTTGATTTTAGGACTGTCAGAAAGTCACTGGGCCAAGTGACACCAGTCCTGGTCCCATCAGCACCGTCAAGAACCTGGAGCCTCGTGGCCACTGCCTGGCTTCTCAGCCTTCCCAGCCCAGAAAGCAGGGAAGCTCAGCAGTCCAGCCTTCAGTCTCCATGGGGGAGGGATAGGCCAGGCACCAATGTGTCTTCAGGCACAGCTGGATCTGGGCGTGGTTGGTGGGGGCAGAGTTCAGAGGAATCCCAACTGCCATCTCAAGTGTCCCCACAGCAGATTGAGTCCATGCTTCTGAGGCCACAGCCGTATGGACCTGCTGGAGCGACAGTGTGGGGCACGTCCATGATTGACATGGGCCATTTCCTTCTGTTGACACCTCTTCCCAGGCCCTGGTCTGCGCTTTCGATCATGTGTAGCACAGTACAGTCCAGGAGGCTGCTGTGGTGACCTAATGGCCTTGAGGTTGACGTTGTCTGCTCTTCCCCCCCCCCCCCATGACTACCCAGGTGTGGACATGATCAGTAAGATGCTGAAGATGCAGATGCTGGAGGACGAGGATGACCTGGCCTACGCGGAGACGGAGAAGAAGACAAGGACGGACTCCACATCCGATGGGCGTCCAGCCTGGATGAGGACGCTGCACACCACAGCATCTAACTGGCTGCACCTCATCCCACAGACGCTGAGCCCACTTAAGCGCACGGTGGAGAACATCAAGGTAGCCGGCTGGAGCCTCAGAGTTGTCTTAGGAGTCAGAGTGCTAATCCCCAACCTTGGGTTTTTAATTCAGCTGTCTTAGAACTGTCCATGATCTGAAAGTTAGGGCCAGAGGTCATTCTGTATCGGGAACGGGGGCGTGGCCGGGCCCCTTAAGGCTGACTTGCTTCTGTGCCCAGGTTTCCCGTCCTCAGCCTCTTTCTCTTGGGTTTAGGACCCTCTGTTTCGGTTCTTTGAGAGAGAAGTGAAGATGGGAGCCAAGTTACTCCAAGATGTGCGCCAGGACCTGGCTGATGTGGTCCAAGTGTGCGAGGGGAAAAAGAAGCAGACCAACTACCTGCGCACACTCATCAACGAGCTGGTGAAAGGTGCTGAGGGGCAGGGTTTGCCATTCGGCCCGTCCACGCCCCGTGGGTAGAAGCCCCAAGCCCCCCATGCATCTTTTCAGACTTCACCAGGGTGGCCCGGGTGGGGAGCGTCTCGGAAATGCCCCTGGTTTTCCCTGGACTCTGCTGAAGTTTTTGTGCGGCGTCTGTGGCTTTGAAGGGACCCAAAACCAGCAGGAGCGGGGCAGGAGGTCCCCATCCAAGGACAGTGTGCACCCCACATTACACTGACCCCAGAAACCGCACTGACAGGCCTGCCTGGGTGTGGACGGTACCGGGTGCAGCCAGGAAGGAGGGCCACGGTCAGCAGGTGCTGGGGAGGTGGCAGAGCTGCCACCAACCCGGGTCTCCGCTCCTTGCCGCAGGGATCTTGCCTCGGAGCTGGTCCCATTACACGGTGCCGGCAGGCATGACGGTGATCCAGTGGGTGTCGGACTTCAGTGAGAGGGTCAAACAGCTGCAGAGCATCTCACAGGCCGCCGCGTCCGGCGGGGCTAAGGAGCTAAAGGTGGGTGAGCAGGACCCTGAGAAGTCGGGAGCACCTGTGGGCCCGGACTTGGGTGGGACAGTGTCCTCTGGGATGGTCTGTGCCTGACCTGCTCTCCTCCCCGGGGGCTGCTCTTTCTACAGAACATCCACGTGTGCCTGGGGGGCCTGTTTGTGCCCGAGGCCTACATCACTGCCACCAGACAGTATGTAGCACAAGCCAACAGCTGGTCCCTGGAGGAGCTGTGCCTGGAAGTCAATGTCACCGCCTCACAGAGCGCCTCCCTTGATGCCTGCAGCTTTGGGGTCACGGGTGAGCCCTTCAGTGTGGCCCTTCTCCAGCTGATGGGGTGAAGGGGCCAGGCATCACGGCCCTGCTGAGCCTGTGGGTGCCCTGGAAGCGGGGCGCCACTTGAGCCCAGGTCTCCACGTCTCCTCACAGGTCTGAAACTTCAGGGGGCCACGTGCAGCAACAACAAGCTCTCGCTCTCCAACGCCATCTCCACCGTCCTCCCGCTGACGCAGCTCCGCTGGGTGAAGCAGACCAATACCGAGAAGAAGGCTAATGTGGTGAGTACCAGCTTCCCTTGCTCCGTGGCCGGGCCACGCCTGGCACTACCCGCCTGGCAACAACTTCACCCCAGCCCTGGACCCCTGCGGGAGCCCCCTGTCTGCAGAGTGAATCACAGCCCCTCTGTCTGCCCCACAGGTGACCTTGCCCGTCTACCTGAACTTCACGCGGGCAGACCTTATCTTCACCGTGGACTTTGAAATTGCTACAAAGGAAGACCCTCGAAGCTTCTACGAGCGTGGAGTTGCAGTTCTGTGCACAGAGTAAAGCTAGACTTTTCTCGGATCCTCTTTCTGGAATAGTAAAACCCTGTATTTAACATTCATTCATCCTTAAACGTTGGGGAGTTTGATGGACTCAGAAAAGAAAGTGGTTGGTTTGCGCTGGAGAAAGTGAGGGGCTGTGGTGGGGAGCGGAGAGCTGTGGTGAGGACGGAGAGCTGAAAGTGTGTTGTTTTCAGATGGCTGATGGAACGGCTTGTTTTGTTATAAAACACTAAGCATGACAGGCTGCCGCCTCTTGTGGTTGCTCAGTCTGGTGTGGGAACCTTGCGTCTCCCCCTGGGGCAGCTCTCGCCAGCTGCACGCCAGCTCACCTCTGTCGCCATGGTCACGGAAACAGAAGCAGCCAGTGAGGCCAGGAAAGCTGCCCTCCGTCCCCGAGGCCTGGCGGCAGCTGTGTTCTTGACTGAAACACTCAGGCTTGGCTGGCAGGCACCTCCATCCCCAGGGACCTTCTGTGTCTCTCACCACCCCGCCATCAATCCCGCTCTCCCACACTTGGTTTCCATACCACTCCGGCATGGTGAGACAGACAGTGGCCTTGGCCTCCCAGTAAGGGTGACAGTTACTCTGCTCCCAGCGCCTGTGTCTCCACAGTAACTGGGAGGGTGGCACTTGGTGGCAGAGGCTGCTGTCCCGGCTGTAAGGCCTCGTGAGGACAGAAGGAAGTGACCAGCCGACATTGTCCCCCGAGGAATACCTAGGGACTGTCCTGCAGATCCCACAGCAGCCCTGTGGGCTCTCCTTGTTGCCCGAGTCTCTGGGGACTGCTGGGGACACTAGGCTTGCTCCAGCCCCATAAGCGGACTTCTTGGGAGCACTGCCTCCCCAGGGAGCACCTCCTCCCCAGGGAGCACCTCCTCCCCAGGGAGCACCTCCTCCCCAGGGAGCACCTCCTCCCCAGGGAGCACCTCCTCC